CTGTTGGAGATGGGAGACCCATTCACCTCTCCAGACCCGCAAACTTCACCCTGCGCCACAGACAGGTGCGTGAAGGAAGAGCCTCTCGCTTTGCTCCATATCTGGGGCTCCAGAGGGGCCTATAGACGGCACCATCTCCTGCCGGGCATTTGGACCGTGCTGCCTTTCTGGCTCCCAATGGTCCTGAGAAGAGGAGGCCTCCTTATTCCTGACTCGTTGGGGCTGTTTTAAGAGAGGAGGTTACCGGGGGTCACATCATGACACATGGCCGTGCAAAGTGCTGTAGGGTAACAACTCCGCCTAGCTCTCCCCTGAGCTGGAATAACTGGAAAGCCGCTTTCTATAGATATTGGGGTTCAGGGAATCAGCATGAAACACTTTGATACAGTAATGAAGTGGTGAGGGTGCATATGTGTATGTGTGCACACAGCACTGCCCTCTGCTGGATGCAGTCAGAACTGCTCAGCCATGTGCCACGTTCCTTATAGTGCTAACAGCTAGCAAGGATTTATTTCCCTTTTGCTCCAATAGCAGGGCCTGTGCTTTTGGAGCAGTGGGTTCTCCGTTCTCTCTCTACTGTCACTGGGATGGCCCCAGTGGGCACTGGGGGCTGCGTGGGGAGAGCCGTGGAGCTGTAGGTGACCCCAGGTTTGCTATAGACTTGTGATAACAGAAATGACGTTCTGTGGTCCTGTGAGGATGAGGATGATTCTGTTGTGTTTCCAGGCCAAAAAAGAGGAGGAAGAGGCTCTCTGCGTCTACTGGAAAGTAGAGGCCCAAAGCGGCAGTTGGTCTCCAGATGGCTGCACCGGCGTGCACACGAACAGCACTCACACCACCTGCAGCTGTGACCATCTCTCCAGCTTCGCCGTCCTAATGGCTCCCACCACAGTGACGGTATCTCACCGTGAGACTCGATCATGGGGCTGGACCCTGAGCTCCGCACTCAGCCGTGGGCAAAGCTCTCCCAGGAGCGACTGGAGGCTTTGTTGGGGAAAAGGCTGAGTCGGAACCGAGGGGGCTGGGCTGGGGTCACTGGTGATTGTCCCTTTGCTGTGTTACAGGAGAGTTACCCACTGACCATCATCACCTACGTGGGACTGACCCTCTCCCTGCTGTGCCTCTTCCTCGCCATCCTCACCTTCCTCCTGTGCCGCTCCATCTGCAACGTCAGCACCTCCCTCCACCTGCAGCTCTGCCTCTGCCTCTTCCTGGCCGACCTGCTCTTCCTCATCCCGGTGACTCCCACCGGCAGTCAGGTACGGCCTGATTCTCCCTTGCTCTGTTCCTCAGGGCAGGGCTGGGGTGTGTGGTTTGAACCCCTTTGTGATCCCTGGATTCTGGGCTGTGCAGGGCACAGGGGGGATTCCCGGGGAGATGTTTCCATCCCATTAGGCCCCTTCACCCTGGGCATAGTGGTCTGAGTGTCCCCAACCCCTGGAGTTCAGCCAGTTCCATCCTTATGTCACAGTCTCTCTGTCCCTCGACTCCTCTCCTAAGTGACTTGCCCATGGTGACCCAGGGACTCTGTGGCAGGGCTGGGAACAGAACCTGGATTCCCTGAGCCCTGCTCCCCTGCTCTAACCACTAATCTCGGGTCTCCCCCACACTCAGCATTTCCCTTCCCCACCGCAGTGTCCCTGGGCTCTCTGTCTCCCCCAGGTGGCGTGTGCTGTCATTGCTGGCCTCCTACACTACCTCTTCCTGGCCTGCTTCAGCTGGATGTTCCTGGAGGGGCTGTTTCTCTTCCTCACCGTCAGGAACATGAAGGTCGTGAATTACACCAGCGCCTGCCGGTTCAAGAAGAGATTCATGTACCCGTTTGGCTATGGATTCCCAGCCCTGGTGGTGGCTATTTCTGCAGCGGTGAATCCTGACGGCTATGGAACTTCCAAACAGTACGTGCAGCGCCCATCCCGAAGGGGAGCTGGGATGTGGCTTCCATGCGCTTGTCCGGCTCACCCCGGGTCCGTGACTTGTAACCAAGATTTCCCTGTATCAGAGGGGTAGCCGTGTTAGTCTGAATCTGTAAAAAGCAACAGAGGGTCCT